TCAGCTGGTCCACCACGGACCATGGAGTCCTGAAAAGCGTGGTTGGAGAACCTGGGTCACGTTCAGTCCGGGCTGAAGTCTCATTCACTCCCCAGAAACGGGACTTTGGATCCAACATCAGCTGCACGGCTCTGCTGGACATCCCAGAGCTGCAGGTCCAAAACAGCAGCAGAGAGAGCAGCGCCCCCCTCAGGGTACTTTGTGAGTCCACATTTTAACTACTCAATCTGGATCCAGACTTCTGAGTCCATATTTGGATCTGGTTAACAATTTGCCACAGATCTAGTTCACGATGTGGTACAGAATTTAGTCCAGAATTTGGTTTAGTTGGAGCTAAAGATCAGTTGTTCTAAGCTCTGGTTCTGGTTCCACAGATGCTCCTGTCGTCGTACCGTTCTCCTCACCTGTGGTGGTGAAGGTCGGTTCCCCGCAGACTCTTTGGTGTTTGGTGGATGGGATTCCTGATCCAGACATAAACTGGACCTTCAGAGCTCTGGATGGTCGGACTGTGCAGCGGGGCCCTGGTCCTGGACTTGACTTCCCTTCAGTCAGTTTGTCTGACGCCGGACTCTACGAGTGTGAGGCACGGAACAGCGAGGGACGTGGGATGGCCGCCGTCAACGTCGTTGTTTATGGTGAGATGATCGTGAGAACCTTCAGTTTTTAACATATGGTCATGCCCCCTCACTTATCTAACCCCGCCCTCTCATCACCAGCCCCGCCCACCAACACCGTGGTATCACTTAGTCCAGATGGGGTCATAGTTGAGGGGCAGAAGGTGATCATCACCTGCCAATCAGACGGAGCTCCCCCCAGCGCACTGGTTCTGAGGAAGGAGGGGGTGGAGCTTAACAGAACAGACTCTGACTCCACCCTTTTCTTCAGCTTCACACCTGTTAAACCAGAAGACTCCGCCTCCTACCAGTGTGAAGCCTCCAACCAGTACGGGTCCCAGGTGGTCAGCACCGTGCTGCGGGTCACAGGTGAGGGAACGTCCAAGGTATAGAACCAGTACTGACTGGGACCCATTTATGTCAGTTGTTTTCTGCCTCCTCCAGGTCATCCTCTGCATGTGCAGGTCAGTCCTCTGGTCTTGCCTGCAGAGCTTGGTTCAACTCTGGTTCTGAGCTGCAGAGCATCAGGGTGTCCACGTCCTCCGAACCTCACCTGGAGCAGGATGGCACAAAACCAGAGTCTAGCGGGCCTTCTGAACCAGACCGTACTCCATGGGTCACATTACAACCAAACTGTTCTCCTTAAGGAGGCGGAGGGTGGAGTGTCTCTGCTTTACCTCAGGAACCTGGACCTCCAGGACCAAGGAGGCTACATCTGCCAGGGGGACTGTGACTCTGTGGTCAGAACCAGTGACACCTGGGTCCAGGTCTACTGTGAGTCCAAGACACACCTGACAGTCCCCAGACCCCGGTCAGGCCTGAGACAGGATTAGAACCAGACAAAGAACAGGAAGAGGTTCTGTCAGAACTTTATCACTGAGAAATTCTTTAGAGGTCGTCCTGGCCTGAGGTCAAAGGTCAGAGAGACACATCGTCCTCCTCCACACACACACACACACTCACCCCCCATATCCCCCCACATCCCCCCACACACGCGCAGCTCTGAATCATCTTCTAAACATCTCCTGATGTTTCCAGGACCTGTCCGGGGTTTGGACACGTTCTCTTGTATGACATAATGAGAGCTGATCGCCCCCTGCTGTTAGATGAATTTATGGCAAAGTTGCATGCTCCTAGTGTGAACATACTGTCAGCAGGATCACCTCTGACCTCCAGGTGACGTGCTGTTGGCTGTGTTACATCTAACAGTTGTGTCCTCTTCCCACAGCGTTTCCGGTTGACCCGGTCGTGACAGTGCCTGCTCTTGTTCTGCTGGGTCAGGAGGTGGTTCTACACTGTGATGTCATGGAAGTGTTCTGGAGCGAACAGCTGATGATCCACTGGACCTCAGGAAACACCACGCTCAAGTCGCAGTCCTTCAGCTTCTCCAGGTCACTTCAAAACTTTTCATCAGTTCTTCAGTACCAGGTTCTAGCAGACAGGCCAGTTGTGACCTGCGAGGCTGAGCTTCTGGTAGATAAGGAGGTATGGAGGACCAGGAGGACCAGCGTCTCTCTGCAGGTCTTCTGTGAGTCTGGTCCTAGAACCTTAAACCCAAACCCGGCTCCACTCAGTCCAAGGTCTAATCTGGGTCTGTCTGTGCTGCAGATGCTCCGAGGAGAACATCGATGGTTGTGAATCCTGGTCAGGAGGTGGTTGAAGGTCAGCAGGTGACCATCAGCTGCCAATCAGACGCAGCCCCGCCCCCCACACTGGTGCTGAGTAGAGACGGGATGGGACTTTACAGGTCTGACCCCCTGACCCCCTCCTCGATGGTGTCCTTTAGCCTATCATACGCTCTGATGGAAGACTCCGCCCACTACCAGTGTGACGCCTGGAACCAGTTTGGATCCCAGCAGGTCTCCAGCAGCCTTTGGGTCAAAGGTGAGAGTGGGCTTCAGAAGTGTGACTGTGACAGCTCTTATCTGAGGTCTAGACCTCTCAGCTCCTCCGGGGTGAGGGGGTCTAACTGGCTCCGCCCCATGGTGTCAAACAAGGGTGTTAAAATAGGACCGACCTTAGCAACATTCTGATGTCACGTGACCTCGGTATGTGAAAGAAAGCCCAGGACCAGTACCAGGTACCAGGTCCAATACATGACTGTAGACTAGTACTAGTACTAGATCCAGGTTAAGTACCAGGTTTGATTAAACAACTCAGTGACTGCTTCCTTCTCTTTGATGGACTTGATCTGATCATGTGACTGTGACATCATCACTACAGCCTCTCCCAGAAACACCACAGTGGAGGTTTTTCCATCCACTGTAGTCCAGGCAGGACAGAATGTCACCATCAGCTGCTGGACCATCAGCTCGCCACCATCCACCATTACCCTGAGGAAACTGACCAATGGCAGTGAATTGTTCTCTGACAATGGACGCTTCCTATTGGTCAACGTCACCGCTCGAGACACGGGTCTGTACCAGGTCAACGTGACCAATGACCTTGGATTCCAGGTCAAAGTGTTCACCATCAGTGTGATAACAGGTCAGTACAGGTCACCAGGTGAGTTCAGACTAGGTCAGACCAGTGTCCACCTAGGTCAGGGGTGTCAAACATAAGGCCCGGGGGCCAAAACTGACCTGCTTGATGAATTTTGAAAATAAGAAAAATACACAATGTTCAGGATATTTTTTGTAAAATCATATTTCATTCAATATGAATAAATAAAAATAAATATTAATATTCTTGTTTTTGCATGAAAACAAAGGGGAAAAATATGAACTATTGTTATTTATAGATAATTATGTTAGAATTGTACTTGTCCAGCCCACTTGACGTCTATTTAGTTGTAGTGGTTGTATGCTGCCCGTGAGCCAAAATGAGTTTGACACCCCTGACCTCGGTGATCTTTGTAGACCAGTTAAGACTCAACCAGAACAGAACGTACCATGTGACGTTTCTCTTTATGTCAGTTGTCTCAGTCTCCGCCCACTTCCTTCCCAGAGAGAAGCTCCACCCTTCCTCCTGCGCTGAGCCTCAGTGGCGCCATCATGGCTGCGGTCTGTGTCACTGCAGGTGTGGTGTTATCTGCTTTGCTGCTGGAGTACCTGAGGCGGTCCAGGAAGAAAGGGTTCTACCAGCTGCCCCAGTCAGCTCCGCCCACATCCTGAGCATTTCCCAGCATGCTCTGGATATAATGTATAAACTGAAATATAAACTGAACTTTTGTTTCATGGCCACTAGGATTCTGGGACTTAGGTGAGCCAGGGTCTTAGTAACCAAAAAACTGAGCAGAGCCTTCAGAGACTGTGGTTAAATGGGCAGAATTCATCTGGATCTTCAGAGCCGCTTCCCTTTCTGAACATCCTGGAACCAAATAGTACTCAAAGGTTGTGGATCAAACACCAGTACCTGGGTCACCAGAACCACCTGAAACTACAGAAGAACCAGAACCTCCTGGACCAACAGAACCTTGTTGTGGTTTTGGTCCGTCACTGCTCCAGCTTCTTTGGTTCTATACACATCTTTAGCACCGTTCTGCTGGTTACCATGGAGAGGTCTCAGCTAGTAACCATGGAGACGCCTACACTGGGCCTGAGCTGTGGACGTGAAGAGACTGAAAACCTGTCTGTCTTTGTTCTGGCTCTGTGGTGTCCACTGTCTACAAGTGGACTGATGTCTGTCCTCTATGTCCTCTATGTCTTCAGTCTTTCCCACTCAGTTTATCAATTTCTTTCTTCTTTATCTTCTCAGAGTCCTCGTCTTTTTGTGTTCTCTGAGTCCTTGTCTTTTTGTCTTCTCTGAGTCCTTGTATTTTTGTCTTCTTGAAGTCTTTGTCGTTTTGTCTTTTCAGAGTCCTCGTCTCCTCCTGATGTGTCTCTCTCTGTGTCCAAAGAAAGTGCCAGAGTCTCTGTCTTCACAGACTGAGGTTGTTGTCTCCGTCCCTCTCTGTGCACTGCTGTCTTCCAGTTCCCCAGTGTCTCCGTCTCTGTCCTGACACAGAGCAAATATGTGACCTCTTTCCCCTGCGTTTAGCATCGGCGTAGCTGCACATTCAGCATAAACCCGTGCCTCTGTGCTGATAAATCTCTTTCTCTGGTCCATCTGTTGTTTTTCACTCGTGTCCCGTTTCACTGAGCCCTCGCTGGGCCACGCTGACCTGTGACCTCTGTTGTGTAAGACCTGCTGCGTCTTGTCTTTTTAATGTGCTCTGGTATTTCCTGCTGCTCCGACTATCCTTTCTGGTCCACATGGATTCTCACGTTCTGACTTTGGATCTGGTTTTGAACACGTTTGAGGAAACAGTTCTGTTCCTGGTCCTGGATATGGTTCTGGTTGTGGTTCAGTGTCTGGTCCAGCACAGATGAGTACTATTAGTCAGCGTTCAACCAATCAGCAGGACAATTAGTTAGCGGTCCCTACAGTGACCGTGTGGGCGGGGGCTTCAGAGTTTAATGGCTTTTCTTCTCACACTTTCACAAATAAAAGTCCTGTTATGACGACTGAGTACTTGTTTTTAATTACACATACCGGTACAACATATCTCATCATTATCTTTCTAGCCCATGAGTACCACACTCACGGGCACACATCTCACGCACAGATAACGCACAGAGCCTCTTCATGGAACACAAATATAGTCATACCATATATGTATATATATGCATACACACAGAAACTGTTCTTGTGAGGTTTGGAATCAGTGTTCCACCTGTGTGTACACCACATTCATAATATGACATGTACACGTAATATCTGTGGACAACCCACACCACAGCACGTGCCCATAGTAATGCTTTTGTTTAGTAATGCGTTGCAGTGTGGGATGGGAGAGGCGTTAGCTCCGCTCTGCTCCACACACGGAGAGCTGGCTCCCCCTGTTGGTCACAAATGGCTGATAAACTATTTGTGTCTACGTTAGTCTGTGAGCTACCAATAACAATAACGTTATTCATCATTGTTGATAGCAGCAGTAGTAGAGAAGACACGCGGAGTCCCTCAGGGAACAGAACTGTCTGGTGCTCACCTGAACAGCCTACTGTCAGTAGAGGAGTCCGTTGGTTCAGGTTTTCACCTGGACTTCATTATAAGGACATCGCTGCTTTGCCTACGAGTCGTCGTGATGACATTGTGTCTGAAAGAGTCCTGTCGTCTGTTTCTGCCCCGAGGATATAAGGTCTTGTATGTGACTGAAGAGGTTCATTCATTCACTCACTTAGGTTGAGGCCGATACCGTGCTCAAACTGTCTGGTGAGCACGTGAAACGTTTAATTGTTTTTCCGTGTCCCTTCAGCGGCTTCGTAAAGTTTATATAAGCAGTAATCACTTATGTCAACAGTCGTAGTTGTCGTGCTGTCACTAGGGGTCAGTGTCATCAGTTATGTCGTGTTGCTAGTTTGTGTATTTGGTGT